CCTCCGATGCTCCCGCGCCTCTGCACCCTTGCGCACGCACGCACGCACGCACACACACACACACACACACACACACACACACACACACACACACATGTCCATACGTGTCTAACCTTCGGGCTCTCGCCCCGCAGCGCCATCACTTTCGACCTCTCCATGCTTGGCCAGCTGCAGCTTTTCCGCCTGCCGGTCCCCTCGGTGGCCACCGATGTGCCGGCCCTGCTGGCCGCCATCGACACCATCACCGCCAGCTTTGAGAAGGCCCAGTCCCTGGCCCTGGAGCTGGGCCAGGCCGAGCTGGACAACCTTCTTACCTCCAAGGAGTCGGAGAAGATCCTGCTCCAGGCGTTCACCGGCGGCCCGGACGCTCAGTCTTGGCGCCAGCTGGTGGAGGACCGCCGCAGCGGTCGCGTGCCGGCCATCGTCCCGGAGGCTGACGAGTCGGCCCCCCCCACCACCACCACCACCTCCTCCGAGGAGCAGGAGTCTGCCAAGGAGCAGGCCCCCAGCCCCAAGGAGCAGGACGAGGACAAGGAGGCGGAGCCGGCTGCTGCCGTCGCCGTCGCCGCGGCCGATGCCGAGGAGCAGGACCAGGAGTCTGAGGATTCCGTGGCCGCTCTGGCCGCTGCCCCGGCTGCTGAGGCCACTGTGGACAACGCCGCCGAGCCCGAGTCTTCGGTTGCGGCCGAGGCGTGCGCCTCCACCACCGAGGGCGAGGACGCCGAGAAGGCCGAGGCGGCCGACGGGGACGAGTCTAGCTGATTGATCCCCCCCCCCCCCCTCCCCTCCTCGCCTTCCGCCTCCCCCTCTCCTGCCCCCCTCTCTCTTCCCTCCCTCGCCCGCCTTCCCCCCTCGGTCCCCTTCACCGCCCCCCCCCCCCTGGGCTTGTGTGTATGTGCAAGTGCGCTGCGCCATGTGCCCATATGTGTGCGTGTATGTGTGTGTGTGAAATGGGGCGGGGGGCAAGAGTGGCGTGTGCGTGCGTGTGTGTGTCGACCGCCCCCAAATAGAGAAACCGTTCCCCTCTCCTCCGGAGCGGCAGATACAGCAAGGCAGGGGGTGGGCGGCGGCTGCGCCAGGAGAACCCCAAGGGCAACGGCATGTTCACGAGGGTGCTAGGGGGGGGGGGGCGGGGGTCAGGGACGTCGTCTCAGGGCCCGGAAGAAAGGGCTCACAGCCCCGGGAAGCCCGGCCGCCCCTCCTCCGAGGCGGGGAGAGAGCCGCCCACGGAGGCGTGGTGCTTTGCGCGCCGAGCCCAGCCCGCGCGTGAGATTCGCTGGGCACATCATGTGACTGCAACGAAATCGGGTGCTCCTCCCGACGGATCTGGACGCTTGCGACGCTGGGCCGATCTGGCTGGGGCCTCTCGTAAGAAGCCCCCGCCTGGATGCACATGTCCGTACACCATACACACAAACACACGCATACACACAACATATGCACATTCCCCCATACACAACACGCGCGCGCGCGCGCGCGCGCGCATGCCCAGGCGCCACAAGTAGGACCAGCCAGCCAGGCGGATCCAGCTGCACGGGGCCACGGACATGGACCTGCATCGGAGAGATCTCTGTGGTCCCCCGATCAGGCCCTGGGGCAGGTTTTTTTTGGGCACCCGCCGGACGCTGACCTGACGCCTCCGGCCAGGCAGTTCAGCATACCCCCATCTCCTCTTCCTCTTCCTCTCTCTCTCCCTCTCCTCCACGCGCGCTCCATCACAGGACTCTCTCAAGCACACACAGACAGACAGGCAGGCATATATATATATATATATATATACACACATCCATACATATCTCGTACTCCACGCCGGCTCCCTCACAGGCTTTCTCCGCCAGAATACGATGGACCTGGACCCCCGCTTTCGAGAAGCCACGCCGATAGAGCGCACACACCCCCCGCCGGCGGGCACCGTGGAGCCTCGGACGCCCTCTCGGTCGCTGGCAGCCGAGGGTGCCGGAGGTCGGCGCAGCCTCACCCCCTCGAAGACCATGTCTCTGCGCGGCCGGTCCCCGCTGGCCGGGGACGATGCCTTCTCCGACGCCCGGCGGAGCCAGTGCGCCCCGGCTGACCGCCCGTCCCATCTCTCTTTCTCTCTCTCTCTCTCTCTCTCTGCCAAGGGGGGCGCATATTGACCCGCTTTGTCGCTCACCCTCACACACCCCCGCTTTTTCCGCGCAGGATGGCCGAAAAGAGTCGCGAGCGCATCCGTCAGGTCCGTGCGGCTCTCTTCCGACGGAATCGGGATCACTTGCCGCCAGCACCACCGGTTCCGGCCTCGGATCCCCCGGGATCGGACCTGCAAATCCGCGGGGACGACCTCCTCCGGAGCTTCTCCATCTCCGACGACTGTGAAGAGGGCTCTCAGGAGGAGCACCATCGGGCCGGCCCAGTCATCGGGTTAGATCTCGTCGAGGACGAGGATTTCACCAACCTCTCGGTGGAGGAACTCCTGGCGCTGGAGGAGCAGATTGCTCAGGAGTGTACGTTAGCCACCTGTTCGTGACCGCCGGTCTGTTTCCGCGCGTGTTCACGCACATGCAGCCTCCCCACCATCCCCATCCTCGCCATTCTCCCGGTCCCCCCTTGCTCACATCGTGATGTATGTGGGCTTGGTCGGGCGCACATGCCCTCCTCCCCCACCCCCGTCCCCTCCTCCTCCTCCCCCTCCTCCTCCTCCTTGGCGCTGATTCGCCAGTGGAGGAGATCCTGCAGGCGGACTTCCTCGCGCAGGAGGAGGCAGCGGCCGCCGCCGCCTTGGATGACCAAGAGTTTTTGACCTTCATCGACGAGCTGGACTTTTCGGATGCCCCGGCCTCGACGCCCAACACGCATTCGGCCGGCTCGGGCCCGGGCATGTTCACCTCCCTGCTGCGGCCGTGCTTTGTTTGCTGTGGCAGCCTCTTCGCCGGTGCAGGGGGACGCCTGGTGCCCGAGGTGTTCCAGAACCCAGCTGCCAGCACGACGGGCCTGCTCCCCAATGGTCGCGGACTCCAGTGCTCCCGGTGCCACTTGCGGGTGGTATTTCAGGTGCGCCGCCATACGCCCGCACGTCGCTCACGCATGGCGCCCCGCACGGCGACCTCCACATGCAGAGGCCATCGTCGCATTCCCCCCCCCCCCCCCCTCCCCCGGCCCGGGCGCGCCAGTCTGACCCTCCCTGCTCGCCTGTCCTTCCGCCCCGGGTTCGCGGTGGCGCGTGCGCCACGCGCAGAATGGAGCCTCGGCCTCCAACCTCGACGAGGTTTACCTGCATGTGGAATCCCTGCTCCTGGACCACCACCGGTACGCTGTCTCCCGTGCTCTGGGCCTCTGCTCGGGGCCCTTGCCGGACGGGTGTCCCCTCTCTTGACTCGCTCCGCGCGCCGGCCTCTCCCCCTCTCGCACCGGGAGGGGGCACCTCTTCGGCGTGCCCGCCGGCCCGGCCACACCACTGACACCCCATGCGGCTCGCCCACTCCCGCACATGCATGTCTGCATGCAAAGAGGCTGTCCCCATATGGCGGTGTCCTTCGCCTTCTGCCCGGACACTTGCGCCCTGCGGGTCGAGTGCCGCACCTGCCGCCAGCAGGACCGGGTCCTTTAGTCGGCATCTCCTCCCGGTCCCTGTGGGCTTTGCTCCTTCTTTTTTTCTTCCCCCCCCCCCTCCTTGCCCTCGGCCTCGCCAGCTTGCCACACGGCGGTGGCGCGCCCTGCACCCCCGGAGAAGCGCCCCCCCCCCGCCGGCGCACCATGTCCCTCGCGACATCGCCACGCGCCAACCCAAATAGACATTTGCTGACAGGCCCCGAGGGAAAGCAGCCAGATGCGCGCCGCACACGTGCAGGTGCCTGTGCGTGCGGGCATCGCTCGCTGGGCACTGCGCCAGGGCCAGCAAGCGATGACGAGGGGCCGCCGCTGTGTGCGCCGTGGGCGGGAGTGGGCCAGGGGGCAGAGGCCGGCTCCATCCGCCCCCCCCCCCCCCCCCCCCCGGACAGGGAGAAGCCCAAAAGCCAGAGGCTGGGGAAAAGCAAGAAGGGGGCACAGGGAGATAGAGGACACACACACACACATGGGGAAGAGGTCCGTCGCACTCGCCCCCACGTCCGAAGGGGGAGGGGCTCGCAAAAAGGCCGGGGCCCCGCGCGCCACCATGGGGCGCCCAGGGGCACGCACATCACGCGGGGGCCATGTCACGCGGGGCTTCTGTGCCGATTTCAATTTAGCATTCCTCATGGCACAGCTGTTTGGCCCGAGCCGCGGGTTTGGCATTCCCTCCCACCTCGCGGGCCCTCCCCCCCGTCAAGGGCGCATCCCCCCGGTGGCTCATTCCCCCCCTCGACGGGAGGTCTGGGGCGTCATGATGGACCGCCGACCACGGCGTAGGGTCTCTTCGGCAGGAGGGGCCGGGGGAGAAAGTGTAAATGCGGTTGGCATTTTTTTTTGAGACATATGACAATTTCTCGGCTTCTGTGCGCCCAGGGGCCGAACACACGAGCCCGTCGCCCGGGGACTCCCCATGGATGAGACTGGCCCGGCCTCACCCTCAATGGTTCCGGGGTCGATTGTGGGCAACCCTGCCCGGATCTTGGCACGCCGGTCCCGCGTGTGGATGCCCCCCACCCCACGGCGGGCACTGCGCGGACGGATCCGCCTCCAGGATGGACCGGTCCCGAAGCAGCCAGAAAAATACGACGGCCGCACGCTGCCCGCTCTCCCCCATTCACCGGTCACCCGAAGGCGCCCCCCCCCCGCCCGGGAGCGGGAGGCGGCCGCCAAGAGGAAGCGTGCCGGACCCTGGGGGCACCATGGTCCGGCATACGACCCGGGGGGCCGGCTCGCGGATGCCGCCATATCGCGCCGTGGGTTCGGGCGCCGGGGTGGCGCATTTCTGCCACCCGGACCTTCGTAGTGGGGCGGAGGGCGGGGGCCGGTCGAGAGGCGACTTTGCTCGGCTGTGATGGGAGGGGGCGGGGGGCTCCTTTGCGGGTGGCGGACCAGCGGGCCCCCGGCCAGTAGGTGGCCCCGATCCCGGCACCGGTGGACCATGCATTCTCATGCCGGGCGGATGGCGGGCGGGGGG